TAATATCCAGAATATTAATAGTACTATCAAATATACGCACATAGAACAACTGACAAAACGGTGGTATGTTATCAAAGCGTCTTTATTTTCAAAATTGTTTCTAAATACACTCAGGCCACCTTTTGTTTATTGCTTTCCCTGAAAAAAAAAAGCAGAATTAAATGGGAACGAAACTTGTAAATTAATACTAAAAACATTTAAATAAGAATTAACAAAAAATATGTGTCATTTAATAATTTTTTTGGTATTGGATCTTTATATAATCAAATACTTATATAGGAATATCCGTTTCTCCTAAATTACCAGATACTGGTCACACAGACTCACCGTGTTGATCATTTATATGTTAATTTAAGAGGTAGCTGCTATGCTTTAAAATTTATATCCATATATTCTTAAATTGGTATATTATGTTAATTTTCATTCATATATCAAACCAGGAGCATAGTAACAATTAACAGAATTATTCTAAGTGTTTCGAAAAGTTTTTCTTACGCTCATTTGTATTATCTATCTATCTTCCATTTTTATCCATTTATCCTATTCGTAGGTACTCATATATCTATTTCTGCATCTTCTATATAGACATCTGTATCTTGAGAAAATTATTTTATCCACAATCACCTTATAGTAGGACTTTTATCCACACATATGAACCGTCTAAAGTGATACTTTATTTACTAATGGAATAAAGTATCTTTATTTCAGTAGTAGAATAATGAAAAGATAATAAACCTATAATAAATCAAATTTAATTTATTTACTTAAATATTCTTTATCGGAAGCCCCAGTCAAATATTCTTCAATATGTGCTCTTTCCAATACTGCAGCATTTTTTGTTTTATATCTTCTCGATTCACTCTTCAAATAAGCAGTAAGCTTGTTATATTTTCCAATATCTATATTTTTGTAGACCTTTATAGTAGCCTTCAACATCGAATACTTCGACCACATAAATGAAATTGCATATTTTTTCTTCAAATCTAAAAAATACGATAGCATGACTTCTTCATTTATTGTCATTACTCTCCGTTTTTTCCTCCATTCGTTAAATTTGGCGAACACATTTTCATAATGTTCCCTGGATTTCGCTGGCATTAAATGGAATATTGCTTCTTGAACTTCTCCAAAAACAGCCACATCAACACAATTACTTTCTTGCATTTTTACCAAATTCAGATAAAACTGTTTATTAAATAATAGACAATAGACAAAGTACCACAGCAATCAGTACCCAAAACTTACCACGTTTCATTAAATACTAGTAAGAAATATCAAGACGTGCGAATATTTCTTTATTAAATTCCAATAATTCTGACTCCACAAATATGATTGTGATGTGATTATGGATAAAAGCGTTGTTTTGCATTCATGTTTTAATTGCCTCTTATCAATTTAAGAATATTAAACGCTCCATATTTTTTTTACCATATCTTCAACTATAGTACAAATTTCTTTAATTAAAAATTATCTGTAGTTTATTAAGAAGAAAATTGCAACGAGTCTACAAACATCATAATTAAAAACATCGGAACACTACAGAACTGTTCAGCTAGGCTTAATATTTTGCCGATCAAAAGAACAACCGCATTGAGAGAACCAGATTGGGTGTAAAATCGACCAATGGTGCATGACCTTGTTCAATCGCCGTGCAAGACCACCCCGGATTTGTTTACGAAAAAAAATTCCGATTCAGGTCAAGTTGGCCGAAAAACTTACAATTCACCTCAATGGGATTTCTCCTTATTCATTGTTGTGATTCTACATTCTTAATGGGATACACAAGAAGTACATTGTCATCCTTCGACGATGAATAGGATAATATCTATTCAATTTCTATAAAAATAAACGTTGAAGTAAGGCTAAGTCGTCCTTAGCAAGGGAATATTAAGATGTGCATGATAATAATAGTTTTGTTACCGATTCTGAAAAAGAATTTCCGGTCGGCCCATTTTAATCTAGTTGCAGGCCATTTCGCAGAAGCGTCGTTAGATATTAAAAGTTTTTATTTTATAATTTGGTTGGGGTTATAATTTACGTGATGAGCCGAGGCAGAGTTTTAAAAATTAGCCGTGTCGTTTGGGCCTAACCGCAAAGACAAACATTATGTGCGGTCATTTTATGTTACCTTGAAATAGTAGGACATAAATCATGGGGTAAAGGTGGTGATTTTTCCATACTTGTCTTCAGAAAATGATTTTTGGACTAAAATAATTATAATGGGAATACAGTTAAATGACACCCTGTATAATTTTAATACAATTAGCGATATTAGTAAGCTATATTACCATATTCACTGGCTATGCACAAATTTACATTTTGCAATTAAAAAAACATTAAAAATACTATTTTTCACATATCTAAACAAAAAATAATCTAAAGGAGTTAGTTGCGAGCCATATCTCTCGTAGAAAAATATGGGTCCTATTATACAGTGCGTTCATAATGAAAGGAACAAATTCGTTTAAAATTCAGGTAATTATTATGTGGGAAAACTCTCGGACACGTCGGTTAATATTTTTAGTTGAGGATATTTTTTGACATGACAAAATTGTATGCAGGGTGTCTCAAGAAGAACATATGCAGCCATCATTGATTTTCTTAATGGAACACCCTGTATATTATGCCATATTTGAGTTGTACGGTAAATTCTGAACACTTTTAATAAAAATAAAATGTTCAAATTGAACATCCTTGAACATTTTTTAAAAGCCAACAAAAACAACCTGGTAAGCCTAATTTTATCTTAAATAAAATCTTCGTATTAATCGTTTTTCATTCCTTGACAATTTTGATGTAGTATGTATTGAATAAATCACAATTGACAATAAAAACCAAACTATCACCGGCGTTTAGTTTGTCAGTGTCATTTTGTCAGTTTTAATTTACATTTTAAAAATGCATTTATTTGAGAAAGACCGTATTGAAGTACTTATGATGACTGGTATTTGGAGAGTCGTACTCAACAAGAAGTGTGTAATTTATTTAATGTAATTCATCCTGACGGACCTCCTATTAGTAGATCTACTGTCAGCAAAATTGAATTGAAATTTTCTGAGCACGGCCAAATTAGAGATTTATCTAAAGGAAAACCAGCAGAAATATCAGATTCTAAACTAGACGTTTTACTAGAAACTGTTAATAATTCCTATGTAGCCGTTAGGACAGTCTCCGGAAATCCAGTAGAGGTAATTGAAAACATTCAACGGGAAACAATCCTTCGACCACAAAAATGTATTGAAGTAAACAGACAAAACATTGAATATTTATTTTAAAGCAATTGTTATTTAAATAATGTCTTATGATTAAACATAATTTTTTTCCATTTATCACATTTCAAACGTCATTATTACAAAAACCGCTGATTTTAGAGATATGGTATGTTTGTTCTATTTTTTTCTTCTGTTCCATATTAATATAATTTGTTCCTTCGCTACACAAACGCATAATTTTAGGGATGTAGACTGGTTTCTACAAATCTATGAGGATTTTCTGCAGCCCAGGTTCTACAATGTTGGCTGTCTTATAATATGATATCCTTTATTATACTGATACTGATACTGATGATTATACTCGCCTTTCCACTTCTAAGAAAAATTGTAAAATTAAATATCATATTTTAAATTTTTTTATTTTTTTAACTACACCAATCCTACCAATATTTCGTAGCAAGCAGAATATCCCTCTTTTTTGCAACTTCTAATATGTATTCGATCAAGCCTATGCCCAAAATTTGGGAGCACCTACGAAGATGGTTTTCGGCTTAAAAAATTTGTCTTTCCAAGTACTTTAAGATACTAATTGGCAGAATTGAAAAATCCAAGATGGCGGACATAATATGGCTCCTAGAGGTATGAGAAAAATAAAGAATCGTCCGATAAACTTCTTACACTAATCAGATTAACCACAAATTCATACCCTAATAGACTGAACAGGTGCTCTTGACATCGTTGGACATGAGTATGGAGTTATTTTTCAAAAATTGAAGATGACGAATTTCATATAGTGACTTGTAAGGCTAAAAAGCCTGAAATCGTCATTCAAAGGGAAGTGACCTGTCGATTTCACCCATAAACCTTATCTGAACAGATATCATATCATATATCGATTCTAACCTCAAAAATATTTGAAAAATCTCGATTTTTCGTTGATATAGCGAGGTAAACCTCAAAAGAATAGACAATTTTCATGTTTTTGGGGTTACTGAAACATGATAATGTGTTTTTTTATGATATTATATCATACACTGATCCTAACCTCAAAACTTATTTGAGAAATCTCGATTTTTTGTTGATATAGCTGATACTATGAATGCGGACTGACGAAAAGACACAAATACCTAGGGACATAATTTCTGGCACCTCAGAACATCAGAGAGACTCCAACAAAGTTACAAGTCTGTACGAACCATAGCTTTGTTACTAGCAGCATGCATAATGTGTTACAAGACCGGAGGGAGGCAGAGTGCAACCTAAAGATCAAGAAAATTCCCTGATTAAGTCAAATTTACAGGAACGTATCAACAACCAGAATCTGGATCAGATGTCATAAGAATATAATTTGCGTTTAGATAATAGAGTGGTTTCTAAATTCAAATATTTAAGTTTTGTATAATTTTGCAAGCAAGGATTTTAAATAATTTTAATTATTACCTAATCAAGAACTATGGCGACAAGCAACAATAATAGAGTTGATTTTTTTTTGCAAAATGATGGTGACTGCGCATGCTCAAGTATTCATGACAAAGAGGGTACAATATGTAACCCCATTCTATATGTATAAATACTATTATAGAAAAAAATGGAAGCGATATACCTATTTATATTTTCAAGCTAATTTGTCTTTAGTAAATTACCATTGGGTTAAATATGATAAACAGATCTCAGCTAATTCTGCATTTTGGGGACTGCCTTTTCAAATGACCCCCTTCCAAAGTTCTTCAAAACACGTCTTTTTCGTTCTAAGCAACAACAGATCCCTGAAGGTTATTTTTGTTGCAGGTCAAGGAAGAGTCAACCAGCTAGGCGGCGTCTTCATCAACGGTCGCCCTTTACCAAACCACATCCGGTTGAAAATCGTGGAAATGGCGGCCGCCGGGATAAGACCGTGCGTGATATCCAGACAGCTCCGTGTCTCTCACGGCTGTGTGTCAAAAATTTTGAACAGATACCAGGAAACTGGCAGCATCAGGCCCGGTGTGATAGGAGGGTCGAAGCCTAGGGTGGCCACCCAGGAGGTGGAGACTAGGATAGAGCAGTTGAAGAAGGAGCAACCCGGTATTTTTTCCTGGGAGATCAGGGACAGGCTGATAAAGGTAAAAAATTTATTTTCTTTGTGCAATAAAATTATACCAAAAACCAAATTTCGTAATTTAGTTCTTTAATACACTTTAAATACGTTGTTTTTTTATTAAATCTTATGCTAATCACTTTTTGTTGCAACTATTTATATTCATTAGAAATTAATTGCTTTTTTAAGTAGTTTCTAGTTGCTTGTAATTTTTTTAATTGAATAATTGTTAAGTTGACTTTTTTCAATTATACCATAAGTAATCAAGTTTAACGATAATTTTTTTCTAATTACAGAGCATTTTAATGATTATTCTTTTGATTTAATTGTTATTTCTGTATCTACAAACAATACTGCACCTGTATTTCTACATATAAATCTATTATTTAACCTATTATGCATTGTGTTTACAAATTTAAAGCCAAATTGAAAAAGGAGATAGAAAATATCAATTTTAGTAAAAAATCTTAATAAATAACATTGGGCTTAAAATACTTACTAAAAAAGATACAGATAAAAATGTACTTCCAAAGATATATCTTTGTTTTTAGACATTTGTAAATATTGTTATTTTGACTGAAATTGGCGTTTGTGCTTACACAAAATTAAAAAATAAAATAGCATGTGAAAATAATCAGATACCAAGTTTTTCATTGAATTATTTAATTTTACTCTTTCCATTTGCCAAATTTACCAAAAACTAAAATAATCTATCTAGCTTAGAAAACTATTATACAGTGCTTTCGAAAAGTAACGAACAAATTCATTATTTTTTAAATTGAGAAGTTTTCGAAAAAATTCCCTGGCACGTCGATTTTGTTTTTAAAAAAGGCACTTTTTGACATACGACCCATATTTGTGAACTCATCGTTGTTCGAGATATGATGTCATCGACAATTTTTTTAAATAGCAACAACCAATTTTGACCAATGATGCCATTTGAAAGAGCGTGTCATTCTACATACACATCATGAAAAATTATGGTGTTACATAACAAAAATTTCAAGAAAATAATGTTTGAAGTTTTTGAAATTTAATTTTCACAATACTGAAAATGATAATGATTATCTAAAAATCGACTAAATTAAATGTTCAAATTGTGCACCTGTGCAAGTTTTTGAGCTGCACTTTCGAGAAGATCTGAAACATGTATTTTGGCTGAAGGTGGCCATTTCCAACATATGTTATAAAAATGTTATAATAAATTGTAGTAAAGTAATTCCATTGTTAATTAATTATTTTGTTATTATTATAAGTATTGCAATTAGTATCGTAAACATGCACTTGATCCAATAAATCAGTTTTGTTGTTAATCAGTTTGGAATACAAAAAAAGTGTAAAGAAAGAAAAACTGAAGATAATACAATGGCGCATATGATGACCGATTTTATTTGTAATATTATACAGGGTGATCTTTTTTTTAGTAAATAATGATCGATGATACCCACACCTACGCCACTGGTAAGTTTCTAAAGCTGACAATTTTTTGTTTCATACCTGCTGGCATACTAAATACTCACACCGAATTTGGTTAAATTATCTCAAGTGGTTTAGAAATTAAAAATTAAAAACTGCTTTTTTTTTTAATTTTTGACACGCTGTTTTACGACCCCGCATTTATGTAACAAAATGTATTTTTGGTCACAGAATACGCTCCTGGATTTTTGATCTCTACTTAAGAAACGCTCTGTATATTCCACTCTTTTCAACAAACTAAAGGATTTTTACTCATTTTACTCAATTTAACATTCCAATGTCGAATAATTCTAATTAAGGAGGTATATCGGGGCCCGAGGGAAGTGAGGAGCGCAGGGGAGTCCTATGATTTTCTTATGGGACTAAAGCCCGCTGCCAATTTGAAAAAATTAAATTCTTTGGAAATTATTTGCGATAAACATTATTTATATAGCAAAGAAATCTACTCATATGCACAGAGCAAACATATTGAAAATTAACAACATAAAAATATCATATTTAAGTAGTTTTAAATTATATTTAATGAACGCATAAACACTATGTAGATGTGGCAACAGCGCTAATAATCGAGTGCAGTTGTACACACTGCGAACCTACAGACCTCGGACAGCGGAGATATTGCGCGTTAAATTCGGGTAAAGATGCGTACGCGTTCAAAAATGTATTGTGTGTAAACTATGTACAATATAATTATTATATATAGCAAATATATCGTATTATCCTCGCGAAGATTTGTATCCTTTATTTAAAATCCGTAAATCATGTGAACTGGTAAAACAACGAGAATTATGTTAATTTAGTTCTAAAGAAATGAAATGACACTCGCGCCCATCTCTCGTCCAAGTCAAAGAAAATGTTGGATGCAATTTTGAAGGTTCTGTGATAGAAATTACATTATTACTCACTGTTCGTGTTTTTAATCTCTATTTTAGTAATGTTACAAAAGTTTTGCAACTATAACTAATTTTTTAGATATAAAGTTTGCTGAGAAATATTTATGTTCCTTTGTTATTCCGTACAAATGCTTTTATCTCAAGTATTACTAATTATATTAATCAAGTAAAGAAAACTTTATGTAACCCTAAATATTGCTGGGTAATGATTACGATGTTTTTATAAACCATTAAATATATTAAAAGGATTTATCAACTGTATTTTTTATTCCAATAAATATATCACAGCTTCCTAGTCTTTTTTAATTAATCTAGTTTTTTAAAAACATTACAAAAAATCATCTGTTGTGGATAATTTATTGTTGATAACAATGTACATGGGATTTAGGAAAAATGTATATGTTTGAAATCAATTTCGTTTTTATCAAGTCTTTCAAATGTATTCCCTCCTTGCTGTCAGCTGATTGGTACGTTGCCACATTAATCCTCAAGTCAGACAGAAATGCAGTTATTGGTTTCTGTTTCTAATTAATACAGCTGTACTATGTTCAAAACTTACATTAGTTTTACATTAAAAATAAGATAATATTGTGTACTATCTATGGAAAAGTTTTGTTTCACAATTTCTACATTTTTGTCTCAGTTATGGGCAAAAAAAGCCGCACCGTCCATATAAACCATGTTAAAATGAACAACTTTCAACAACAATATCTCAACCTTTCATGTATTTTTGTTCTAGATTTCTAAATAAAATTTTATCAATATTTCTTGTTATAGGAAGGGATATGTGACAAAAATTCAGCGCCCTCAGTCAGTTCAATCAGCAGATTGCTTCGTGGTGGAAGAAAAGACGACCCAGAACGAAAAAATCACTCTATAGACGGAATACTTGGTGAGTTTTTGTAGCAGCTTTTAAAATTTAAATTTTCCCATATTTGTATCCTTACTTACATTCATTCCATTCATCCGCAAATACATTTTTCCAATCTTATTATTACCAACGAAAATCTCATGAAGGCATTCAAAACAACGTGGGAACGCTCCTTTATTGTGACTAATTAATTAAAAACCGTGAAGTCAGTAATTACATGACCAATTAAAAAAAGACTCCCCGTTCACCTCGACGGTCCTGCCGAAATTTTAAATCGAATCGAGACAAAAAGCTAGTCTATTTATTCTTTAAACAGCTCTAGAAAACGATACTTCGACGATTAGAAAAAAAGTTCACGGTTTGGCGGATTCGGATTCCAATTACCGCAGGCGGATATGGAACTAAGAGCCATGCGACATGTTTTTCGGAAAGATTTTACGCTTTTTAACAGAATTCGGGAAATCGTGACGAGATCTGAGACCGTGAAGATATGGTAGGGGGTTAGATTTGGATTTTTTGCTCCAGTGGAATATTAGGGCGGCCTTGGAACTCCTAGAGCAGATACATTTCTTTAAAAGTACTTAGGAGCAATATTATGGCTTTGTTTCAAGCGATTACCCTGTATAAGATAAACCAGAACTGAACGGAAAAGCCAATAGGACACCAAAAGCACAGATTTTCATGGCATTATGTAACTCAAAGTTTCATCTTGGTAAATTTAACACCCTCAAATTCATAAACATTTTTTTTTAGATCATGTAAAAGTCCTTTTCTTCCTCAACAACTTCTGTTAACAATGTTTTTCGATATCTCTTCTCGATCAAAAGGTGTAACACGATTTGTACAGAAAAAAATACTGGTTTGATCAAGTCTGTTACTGATTTTGTCAGTGTTGCTGACGAAATCATTTGTTTCTACACTGCTGATTATGAATCTTTAAGTGTTTCTCTAAAAATCAAAACCAGATCGACACATAAAAAGACTATTTTGACTCTGATATTGTTATCAGACGTAATTTTTCATTCTGAATCAAATCATCAATCAATATTCGTTAAGTTAAAGTACTTTTCTTCTTTTTGAACTTCCTTTTTGGATTATATCCATACGATCACCAATTAAAGTTTAGTTTATAATCATCTACCTTGACCTAAAACATTCTATAGATTCATTCTCAAGCCTTAAAGTCTCAGTCATATTAAAAAAAATATTGCATGTAGATGTATTGAACGCAACATATTAAATACTTAATCCTTAGATTAAAAGTGTTCATCAAATTTTAATTTATCAAAGTTTGTTCAACAATATTTACAATATTTTTTGTTTACCCACATTGATATTAAATACAGAGTTTGAACAAGTACTAAAATTAAATAAACCACTGAAACTGCCACTACCCTCACTCTGGGAGCAATTCTCAAAGCAGTCCAACACGTTTTCGTTAATAGTTTATTGTATTTTCAATGTTGTGAAATCAGAACTAACAACGGTGTTGATAGACTAGGGTCGATAATTTTTGAAACCAAAAAAAATTATAGTAGGATGAAACCCATTGGAAAAGAAAGAGAATATAACAGAAATGAAAGGAAAAATAATTTACGGGCGATCTGAGGTCGGGAAGGGGAAGGGGGTGAGTTTTTAAGGGTAAAAAACGGTTTCCCTTGATTTCCGGAAAAACTACAAGTCTTATGGAAAAAAGTTAAATGGCAAAGTTGTAGGTAATAAAAAGATCTACAACTTTTGTATTTACACTTTTTTCACATAACCTCAAAATTTATGTGAAAAATTCAAATAACCAAGTTTTTGGTTTTTTATTTTTATCTTTTAAAAAAAAATTTTTTTTTCACGAAATTTGGTGAAAACTTACCTATTTATGTCCCAAACACGCTGTAATTTTTTTGATTTGAAATATTTATTTTTTCACCTTATTTTTACTTAATATCGAAAAAGCACCCTAATTTTCAATCGAAAATTCTCACGTCAAAATATCTGCTTTTTTAAAAACGTCGGTGGGCTTTTTCTTCGTTGAAATCTCTACTTTCTGATGGTGTAAAAAAATATATACATTACTATGGTAAGTTTTCTCAGGAAATGCAAAGAAACGAACTAGAATCCGAAATTTTTTTTCTAATCATTATGTACAATTTTGAGCTATTTATTAAAATTTACACTTTAATTACTCGAAAAACGTAAGATTCCATGTTACATTGATAAACAAAAAAATTACAAGTCGAAATATACTATTATAATTAACAACCAAATAAGTTAATAAAGTTAATATTTAATAAGACATCTACAATATTTTGAGAAAGTTGTAGAATCTTCTTTCGTTTCTTTGCATTTCCTGAGAAAACTTACCATAGTAATGTATATTTTTTTACACCATCAGAAAGTAGAGATTTCTTTAGAAACATCAAATAGAGAAATTATTGTTCCTATAAATTATTAACAAATTATTTTATTGGATATAAAAAATATTACGGCTGTAATATTTCTGTCGACACTTTGTAAAATCTTTGAAAATTAGACGCAACACTTGATTCTTAACGACCATTTTTTGGCGTAATTTTAGTAATGCTAAATGAGGTATACAAAAGCAATCGCTATAAAATCATAGTTAAACTAAAAAGTAATATTTGGAAACGGTTATGAAAGACACATTTAACGTTGTTGAACTGATTTAAAATGTGGAATTTCCTAATGTTCCAATTCGGAACTAACTAGATCAAAATGATTTTGCGCCATTTACTTAGTTTCTATTTTCCACAGAAATTGCTACATTTTTAGAACAAATATTCGGTTCTCTAGACTCATGTTGCTTGTTAAACATTGGGACCATACTTTTTTCTTTAGTGACGATTTCCATGATATTTTTTTTACAAAAGTGCTTGAATTAGAAACGCCACAACTAACCCATCACTTTTATGCAAAAGTAAAATACGTTTTATTAAGAATTCTTAGCAACAAAGAATTTTTAAATTCACATGTTTTCTCCGAGTTTTTGTAATTTGTTTTTGTAGTCAACTTATGTTTACCACAGACAATATAGCGTATCGCTACAGACTGCTACTTAAATGCTGGAAATTGGCAACCCGAAATGGAAGCAGGGTCTCCTTAGTCGGCTTCCAGCTATAAAATTTAGCGCGGTAACTCTTCTACTTGCTAATAGGCGGCAGTTCCAGCTGTGGCTTTGTTGCCAAATAATAACTGTTAAACAAATGTAATGCTTTCAATTATGCAATTAAAGAGATATGGAACTTATCTTGTGTTTGGAAATCACATTTGCCTTAAATGTTAAATAAAATAAATCAAGTTAGAATTAAAACTATGAATTTACCTAATTAATTATTTATTTTATATCACCTTGGAATGGGAAAATTCAAAAA